AGGCTCACTGAGCCATATATCCCTCTCTGCCCTTCAATTCACCCCACATGTGTTTACCAGCCAGGTTGGCACAATAAACTAACTACCTCACCCTCTCAAAGACCCACTACATCCAGTGCCAGCACACACTTTACTTTTGCAGACAACTGTAGCTCCAGGATGCTTGACAAATTCTAACACAATACCTGGGCCGAGGGCTTCCTCTGCCAGTGGAACGTGGTAGCTGCTGGCCAGGGTTTGAGAAAACAGCACCACCGCGGCCAAGAGCAAAAGGTTCAACAGGCTGCAGTGTATTTCGGGGCTTTCACAACAGGCCACTCTCCGTCATGAAAACAAAGGCACTACTTGCGCCAACTTGTCCTGACTCCACAGAGAAGCACAGGTGGAGGTCTCAGCTCAGCTTGGAGATGAACTGGTCATCTGCTTGCCCAGTGCCTGGCCCAAGGTGTTTCCCCTAACTCACGGCGAGTGTTCAGAAAGAGTCCAAGACCCCCAGGAAAAACTGTGCGCAGAACTCTTCATGTTCTAGGAGGTCCGTTTGAACTTCCGAGTCGTGGGTTACAGATCATTATGGTTACCAGGTATTTGACTTCAGGTCGAGAGTGCTTTCTACCAGACAGATACTGATGCTAGCAGGAAAAACAAACGCCTGAGCTGTTGAGTATTCCATTCCGCATACGATCTGCCTAGCTCATTCTACTGAGGAGTGGGCAGGAGAGGAGGGGAACCCGAGAGAAGGACTTACTGATGTGGTCGATGGCCCCCGCACAGAACTTCCCGTAGAACTTCTTGGCACCCAGATCTCGCAGATCATGTATGGTGAATGGCCAGAGATGCAAGACGTTGTTGCGGGAGAAGCCATCTCGTTTCTCAAGAACGACCACCTTGGCTCCCAGTAAGGACAAGTCAATGGCCGTCCGGAGTCCACAGGGGCCAGCTCCAATGATGAGACACTGGAAACAAAGCTGTGTCAGGACAAAGGCGGCACCTCTTGGGAAAGCCCAGAGATCCATACAAGCTTTACCGGCCCACAGCACCATTCCCTAAGCCCCAGAGAGGAGGACTCCCCACGAGCAAGGCAGCTTCAAAATCTACCTGGGCCGCAGCACAAGGCATGCAATGGCTCAAGATGAGAGCTGAATGCTGTGGCTGGGCAATTTCAATGGACAATGCTGGACATAACTCCAGCATGTGTTCACTTTAGACTGCCCGGGAGGCCCACAGATTTGTAACGTCTTTGAATGGGTCATCGTTTCGACCAGAGATCTGAAAGTCCCATCTACCCTTCCCCAGAGAGACGAGGACCTTTTGGAACATTTTAAATCAAGCTGGTTTCTGTCCAAGAAGACACAGGTTACTAAACACATAGTCAGGGCAATCATGGAATCCTGGCATGAGACTACGCTCCATCCGATTCCCAAGGAGCAACTCTGTATTTGCTAAAATGAGTTCTAAAATCGTCGCCTCTAGATCCAAGGTTCAGGGACATGATCGCAAGGACCCGCTTTATAACTTACTGAAGGTAAGAAAGACCGAACACTTGTTTCAGCTAGTTTGCATGCGCAAAACTAAAAGAGGACACTTGCCATCTCATGGCCGTTAATTCCTTTGACTCCGAATCAAAACCCAGTTCTCATCTATGAAAGGTGTACCTTGGAAAATTTCTTCTCGTTTATTGGTGGGTATCTACCGAAATGGGTCTGTAGGTATCCACACAGGCTAACTGGCAACTCATTAAAAGATAGAACAACATCCTCAGACAGCCATTTGCAATTTCATTTCCCTGGTAGCTTTTCTCCAACTTCATGCCGAAGGCATCCTCGCAATAAGAAGGCAGGCAGAACTCCATCTTTTCTTGGTTCCCTTCTCACACCCATTCCGGCACAAGTATTTGAACACCTCGGATCTTTGCCCAGGTATAACCTGTTTCAGGCAAATCTCTCTTTGCAGATTATAAAAGCGAGCAAGGGAAATACTTGCTTCGCAAGGTACCTGCTTATGACTCAAAACAGGACCCTTGGAATATGGCTGCGAGAGGTCTGAGCTCTTTGGCCCATAATCAAGTTGGCAAAGACTGCACTTTACTGCTTACCAAGTATGGCATAATGACTTTATAAAGAGGGCGGGCCATTAAACCGTGCTGCCAGGTTCTGAGAGGATGCTAACAGGGCTTGTCTCGGCTGCTCCTTACATCCTTAGATGCAAGTGACCTGCATTCTTAGAACAAACAGTGTGAGATTCAAAATGGGGTGGGGTTCCTACACCACGTGACTTCAGGACTGCTCTTTAATAGCTGAAACCCTTAACGCTCACAGGGAAATCCATGAAATACGCTTACAATAGTCTTGCACACATGAACCAGTCAAATGAACACATGTACTGAATGCACCAAGTTTCAGTAAGGCCAAATCTCGACTTCCCACGCCTGGCTCTACACTGGGAGCTTCTCTTGGGTGTCTGGCGAGACCCTCAGGTGGGCGAGCCCCGAGCCGAAGGCCACTGTGCCCTTACCTTAGTGTTAGTGCAGGCCTTCCCCTTCTTGTAGTCTTTGTGGCTGCCCCGCTTGTCCAACTTTTGCCACAGGGCTTTGGCTTTCCAGTAGTTAAGCTTGGACTTGAGCTTATGATAGAAGGAGCGGTAGTCCTTGGGCTTCAGTTCCAGGTAGTCACAAAGCTCTTGGAAGGCCTTGAGAGTCCCCTTGCAGGTGGTGGCCTGGACAAAGCGGTCAAAGAGGATATGCGCTTGATTCACGGTCTCAT